AGCTTTAGCCTCTTACGTAGGTTTCCAAGCCAGTCATGCTAAATTGAGAGTAATTTGCTGTTTCTGGAAGTAATAAAAGACGTCAGTGTATTGTTTATGATTTGCTTATTGCAGAAGCCTTCAAGTCACTCAAGAGAGGTCAAATGCTGACCCACATCTAATGATGTATATAGCCACTGAAATGAAAATAGATAAAGGCTTTTTTTCTTTTCCCTCATACCTGGAAAACCTGGTAACTCTGCAGGTTAAATTATCCTGTGGACAAAGATATGCAGGACATGTCTAGACTGGAGTGCCATATAACCAACCCTACTGACCTAGTCCTACATTTTTTGAAAAAAATTAAACATGACAATAAAATTAAAACTAAATCAAGTGATTTCTTGTTTGAGGTGAAAATCAACCCAGGTAAAGAAATGACAACTCCAAAGCACTTTTTTTTAAAGTTTTTTTTTTTTTTTTTTAAGCAAGATTTATTGAAAGGACAGAAAAGCTCCCACAGTAGGAGGGGATCCAAGGGGGTTGCCTTTCTAAAGTTTTAAAACAAAGTTTATTAGCAAGAAAAAGAGAAAATGGAAAAAGGAAGATTCATAGCAGAAAGATCTGCCATGGGCAAGTTTTTACAAAGAAGAAAAATTGCCCCAAAGGATTTTAATAACAGATACTCAACAAATAAAGGAGTATTTATTATACTCTCTATATGTATTCAGTTAAAAGACAGAATGGCATATAATTTAAACGCTGTACCCTGCAAAGTAATTTGGAAACACTTTTACTAGTCTATAAGTACTATAAAAACTATAAAATTATAATCTTAATAAGTCATCTTTCTAGAAAGGTTATCAGCACACAAAAAGATATGGTGGATAGCTAGAATATCATGTTTTGAAATGTGAATGTTTCAACTATTCAAAAACCTACATATTTTGGTTTTCTCTATAACAAGGAGTACTCTGAGAATTGATCTTAGCAATAAAAATTCATTGAACATTCCCATTGTCTCAGTCCATTTTGTGCTTCTATAACAGAATACCACAGACTTCATCATTTATACTAAAATATATTTATTGGCTCACAGTTCTGAAGACTGGGAAGTCCAAGATCAAGGGCCAGTGTTTGGTGAGGGCCTTCTTACTGTTTCATCCTGTGGTGGAAGGATAAAGAGAGGATGAGAGAGAAAGAGAGAGTAGAGGGACTGGACTCGCCCTTTTGTAAGAAACCTCCTCCTGGCATTAATCCATTAACTGTGCTCTCAGGGACTAATCACCTCTCATTAAGGCCAACCTCCCAACACTGTTGCATTGAAGATTAAGTTTCCAACACATGCTTTTTGGGAGGGCACATTCAAACCACAGCATCCATTAAGCTAGGATTTTTACTCTTGATTACCAGTGGACTCTTTACACATGTCAGTTTTATATATGTGACTATATGAGATTTCTAATATAGGTTGGTAATATTAGGATTATCTATTATTTTTGAGTAATTTACCTTTATTAATAATCTAATTTATTCAATCTTTATATCTGTTGGCACAAAATCAAATGGGTTTGAATCAACAGATCAGAATGATCTAAGTGTGAATGGTACCATATCATTTTATCTTAGGGCTGTGTATTTAATGATAATATTTTTGCTGGCACTACCTGTATATTTGTGTATGAGTAACCTGACTTGGCAAAATAACAAAAACCTCAAGCTCCAAACACAATTAAATGTGCTGTTCTCATTAGATAGTTATCATTCTATTAAAGTTACATACTATGTTATCTCTCCCAGTGTAGTACAGTTTTCAAGATTGTATTATATTCATTAAAAGCTAGCATTAGCCAGGTGCAGTGGTTCATGCCTGTAATTCCAGCACTTTGGGAGGCAGAAGCAAGAGGATTGCCTGAGTCCAGGGGTTTGAGACTGGCCTGGGCAACTTGGCGAGATTTTGTCTCTATAATAAATTAAAAAATGAGTTGGGTATGGTGGCGCACGCCTGTGGTTCCAGCTACTTGGATCGCCAAGGAGGAAGGATTGCCTGAGTCCAGCAGGTTGAGGCTGCGGTGGCCATGAGCATGCCACTGCACTCCAACCTGGGCAACGGAGTAACTCTGACTCAAAAAAATACCCAAAAAAGTAGCATTATTCTTTAAATTTGGATATACAAACACGAATCCCACAGTTTTAATTAAAAAAAGGTGTTGAATTGCTTCATGGTGTAAGTAACATTGGATTAGGTCCTAGTCCACTTAAAGAGTGGTCAACATTCACCAACTTCACTACAGCTGCTCCTCACTCAAATGCTCTATATCTTCTGTTCTTCCTACTCCAGGAAAATTACCCAGTTCAAGGTCATGAATAAATTCTTTTCATGCCCTTCACCACGAATGGCTTCCCATGTGTTCTCTCCAACACAAACTTATAGTCCTTCTTCTTTCCACCCATACGTTCTCCCCTTTCCCTTTCCTAAAATGCAAATCACTGCCATGATTGAAAGTTTTCCCTATGCCTTTGGGATGAAAATCCAAATTTCTTAAGATGAGATTGCAGTTTACCAATGACTACCACTTGCCAAAATCAGAATCCCCCTTTCATCCTGTTTGAGGGACATGACGACCTTGAACACTCATCCATTTTGGGATAAGCATCCCCTTCCTTGACTGTCACTCTCGATTTCTTTGACTGGTCCTCTTAGTCTTCTCTGCTGCTGTCTCTTCTCTCTGACATTTTTCTAGGTCCTGTGCTTATATTTCTTTTCCTGTATACTCCAATGATTCCTTAATTATCTTGTCTATAGGAAAGGTTTCCAAATACACAAAGGGCTCCAGATCTCCCCATTTCCAGAGGCCTCTGGACCATCCTTGCCTGGATATTTCTTCACTCAAACTCTTTTTTTGAGTGCTTTTTCAACTGCTTTTTCAAAGCAGCCTCATCTTAGTCTCTCCAAACTGGGTCATTCTACTTTTGTTCACAGATCCAGAATTCTCCGTTGATAAACGTGGTATCCCCAAATCATTTAGCACGTTCTCATTTCCCTTGAAAGTCAAGCTTATCTCTCTTCTTTCTATGCCTTTTCCCTCACATCCATTTTGAATTCCATAGTACTTTTTTTAAAAGCTGCTGTTTAAGAGTTTCCTTCGCTTCCAAACTTTCTTTTTCTAATCCCATCCATTGATACCAGGGTGATTTTTTAAAAACAACCTTTTTTTTGGGGGGGGGTCTCACTCTGTTGCCCAGGCTGGAGTACAGCGGTGTGATCATAGCTCACTGCAGCCTCAAACTCCTGGGCTCAGATGATCCTCCTTCTTCAGCCTCTCAAGTAGCTGGGACTACAGGCACATATACCATCAGGCCTGGCTCATTTAAAAAAATTTTTTGTAGAGATAAGATTTCACTATGTTGCCTCAGCTGGTCTTGAACTTGTGGGCTCAAGCGATCCTCTCGCCTTGGCCTCCCAAAGTGCTGGGATTACAGGTGTGAGCCCCACACCTGGCTGAAAACATATTTTAAGAATATCACGTTCCTGTTTAAGTGGTTCTAGAATAAAGTCCAAGTTCTAATCCCTTCTTGATCTCACCCTAATCTACCTTTTCAATCTCATTTCTCTAAGTTGGAACCGGAAAGCCCACTCACAATTCTCCAAATCCACCCATTTCTGTGCCTTCTCTCATCTGCTTACCTTGCCCAGAACATCTTGTTCTCAAAATGACCGAACAGAAACACCCCTGTCTGGTACGTCTTTTCTCAAAGTCACAGTACCTTTTCCCAGCAGGCTTTTTCTCACTTACCTGCAATCATTTCTTCCTTCCAGGAGGCTCCTTGTAGCATTGTATCTATTTATGTCAACAATTTAGGTATTTTATGCAGTTGTCGTATTTCCCCTGCTAGAGGGTAAGCAAGATTTCAAGCAACGTATCCATCTCTAGCTTTCCTTCCTCTGTCAGAGGGTCTAGTAAAATGGCCATACTTTTAAATGTTCGTAATAGAACAGAACTTTTAAGAAATGAAAGAGAAAGTGACTATAGCAGAACAAAATATGGAAAAACGAAATCAGAAGAGTCCCCAGCTCCTGCTTTCTACCCAACACCCTCATCTGAGAGAATTTCAGCATCACAAGATACCCTGGCTTTCCAGTCAGGAAGGCTCTCCTTCCTTTCCCTTTTGATGATTTATTAATCAACCACAGTGCTGCTCACAAAGTACATAGAGGGCGGGGAAGAATGAAAGGGGAAAACAAAGTCGGGCTGTTAATCTCAAAGATCCTCGCTTCGGAGGGGTGTGCCAATACATATTTCATTTGTGCTGTTGAGCCTGAAGTTGCAGAGCGTTAGCCTGGGAGGACTCAAGGTCTCTGATCACTAGTGCTAAGACATATAAAAAAGATGGGAATAAATTAAGAGCCGTGTGGATCGCTTTAGGCCTGCTAGTCAAAAAGTCTGTTTTGGAGTAGAAAAATTAAAATGACTGCGAAAACCAGAGCTGGGGGATTAAAGTAACGTGCTCTTGTAACACAAGAAACCCCCCTCTCCAGCACTGGTCCTGCATGCATAAGGACTGGAACTGACTGCACCGACCCTTTTCAGAGGGAAGACCTAAAAGCCATATTCCTTTACAAAACTCCCACTGCACCACTTTGCCACGTACGAGCACTAGGGACATTTTCACGCGGTCACCCGAACACTGGGCCGACCTTTCCGGGTCACGAGGCGCGCCGCACCCGGGAGAGCTGGAGCCTCGGCCTGGGAGGACGGTCCCCGGGCGCAGAACACAGTCCCCACCAGGCCAAGTGACCTCGACGCCGAAAGCTTCGGCGCTGGAGCCCCCAGGCTTCGCCCACACCCTCTCCCGGCAGTGCAGGGGTCGCGCCCCCTCTGGCCCAGAACCGCCCTCGAGACGCCGCCGGCCGGGACACAGGCCCAACCCACCATGCGCCGGGCCC